GAGCGTTACGTCTAACCGGCTCGCAGATACAACCCCCCCCCGCCCGCGGCAGCCCCCCCGCCGCCGCCGCCGCCGCCCATTGACGACCACCTCCCTCCGCCGCCCCCTCCTCTCCCGGAGTTCTCCCCCGCCTCCCTCACCCGCGCCGCCACCATGCCCGCCGTCTCCATGCACCACCGCAGCCCCGTCCCCCTCTCCATCGCCGAGGAGGAGGAGGAGGAGGAGGACCCCCAAACCCCCGCGCCGCCCAAGAAAACCGCCGCTTCCCCGGCGGAGATTAAGACGCCGCCGCCCCCCATGCCGGAGCCCAAGGGCATGGCTTGGGATTACTTCTTCATGGTGGAGAACATGCCTGGCCCCTCTCTCAGTGCTGAAGATGACATTCTTAGTAATGATAATAACATCAATGATGATGACAATAATGATGATGATAAGCATATTCATAATGATGAGGGTAAAGTGGAGAATGTGGTTGAAGATGAGGCTGAGCCTAAGACACCGGAGAAGGTGGTGCAGCAGCATCACAATGATGAGGAGAATGAGATGAGTGAGGCTAAGAAACACATGGAGCATTCCAAAACTGCTCCACCTGAGTTGAGAAGAGCCATCAAGGTGGTTCCTTCCGTTACTCTCATGCAGATTCTCAGTGTCCTTGATGATCACTTCTTGCAGGCTTCTGAAAGTGCTCAGGGAGTTTCCAAGTTGCTTGAGGCTACTAGGTTGCATTATCATTCCAATTTTGCCGATAATCGGGGTATGTGGATTTTTTTTTCCTTTTGTTTGTTGAGGTTGGAGTTTGTTGAATTGTTGGGATTGTTTAATTTGTGATGTGATGTGATGTGAACAGGGCACATTGATCATTCTGCTAGGGTTATGAGGGTCATAACGTGGAATAAGTCCTTCAGAGGTGTGTCCAATGGGGATGCTGCAAAGGATGATTTTGATTCTGAGGAGTATGAAACTCATGCCACTGTTTTGGATAAGTTGTTGGCCTGGGAAAAGAAGCTTTATGAAGAGGTCAAGGTAGGTCTCCATTTCTTTCATCTTGTTGCCCTATTAGATTATCTGTACTTATTCATATTTTGTTGATCTATGATTTTCTGTGTCATGATAAACTTCACTCCTTGTCAACAGCAAGGTGAGCTTATGAAATTTGAGTATCAGAGAAAAGTGGCAATTCTAAACAAGCAGAAGAAGCGTGGGGCCAGTGTTGAATCCTTGGAAAAGACTAAAGCGGCTGTTAGTCATTTGCATACAAGATATATTGTTGACATGCAGTCTATGGATTCGACGGTTTCCGAAGTGAACCATATTCGAGATGCCCAGTTGTATCCAAAACTTGTTTCTCTTGTCGTGGAGTAAGTATTGCTGATAAAAAATTTAAGAGATGAAATGATATTGGTATTGCCTCAGTTGATTATTCTATGGCATTTGATATTATAGCTGTGGTGTGTTAGTTGGCTATGCTTCAGTGAAGAGTCCGTGGAAGAAACCACACATTGTTGTGAGCTTCCTTTAACGGCCACAGTGTTCTGTTCTAGCTTGGTGGCCCTAATTAGTTTTAGTTGTCAAACTTTAGAACACAATTAAATCCAGCATTCTAGTAATTGATGTTTCTACCTTAAAAAGCATTTTAAGCCATAGTTTAAATTTATGCGCAGTCTAAATTCTGGCCTTGGATACTGAAGTGCATTTTGATATTATAAAAAGAAAATAATCAACTACTATAAGAATCACATTACACTACACGAATAAGTTTCCTAGTTCTCAATTCCCAGACACCACTACTAGATCCAAATTTTTGAATATGTGCTGTGTTTGTTTTATCTTTGCTGCTAATTGTGTTTTATCTGTTTTTGAGGCTGTACACTGATGTACATTTTAATATTATAAAATAGATCTATTTATTATTATAAGAATATAAATGATATTTTATTAAATGTATACTTTCCTAGTTTTCAAATTGCTCTAATACTGACTACTCCTAGATCTGAAGTTTTGGATGTATCATGTGCAATTGTTTTATCTTGATACTACATCAACTGTTTTTTGGATTTATATTCTGATAAAAGGGGAGGTGTAATGGATTGAACAGTAGTGTAAGAAAGCTATTTACACCATGAATGGATCCTAATCAGTAATCTACTTGATTTCTCCTCAGGATGGCAAATATGTGGGAAAAGATGTGTATGAATCATGACAGCCAGCTGAAAATAGTTACAGACCTCAAATCTCTTGATATTTCTCAGGCTCCTATGGAAACAACCAAGCATCATTACGAACGCACTGTGCAACTTTTGAACGTTGTCCATGAATGGCATTTACAATTTGAGAAGCTTGTGACTCAACAGAAACAATACATCAAAGCTCTTAATAGCTGGCTAAAGTTAAATCTCATTCCTATTGAAAGCAACCTAAAAGAGAAAATCTCATCCCCCCCAAAAGCCCAGAATCCACCAATCCAAGCCCTTCTCCATGCGTGGCATGATTATGTTGACAAGCTTCCTGATGAGCTTGCCAAATCTGCTATTTCCTCTTTTGCTGCCGTGATAAAGACAATCATAGTTCAGCAGGAGGAAGAGATGAAGTTAAAGGAGAGATGTGAGGAAACTAGAAAGGAATACTTTAAGAAAAAACAAGCATTTGAGGAATGGTACCAGAAGCATTTACAGCGAAAGGGACCTGAAGAAGCTGAACATGAAAGAGGAGACGAAGTAAACACAAACAATCCTGTCTCAGAGAGGCAGTTTGTTGTTGAGAGCTTGAAGAAGAGATTAGAAGAGGAAGTTGAATCTCACCAAAAACATTGTGTCCAGGTGCGAGAGAAATCTCTACAGAGTTTCAAAACTCGCTTGCCCGAACTCTTCCGTGCTTTGTCCGACTATGCTCATGCCTGTGCTGATGCTTATGAGAAACTGAAGTCAATCACACAGTCACAAGGTGTTGGGGCATGAAACATGTAGCTTTTTTGTTCACTTTTTAGAAGTTTATGTATTCCGAACCTGTGTAGTATGCTGTTTTCCTCACACAAGAAGGCATATATATTTTAGCTTGACATGCAGATGTATCAATCTTGTGTGAAAATTTTGCCACAGCTTTTAAAGTTCTAACCATCCTTGGTGATGTAAACATTTTGCTTAATGTATTATGTGCCTTAAGGTAGTTGCATCATAAAATAGTGATTTATGTGGCCCGAAATTTTATTCAATTCATTCAGTCCAAATTCATAAAGATTTTTATCTTCACTTTAGTCGTATGCTGTGACTTGTCATGCTACTGACATCTCTAAATCACAATTGAATAGTCCGAGAAGTCTGCATGTACCCTTTGACTTGTGAAAAAAAAGTGGAAACGTAATCTCAACTTGAGTAGTTGTATTTGTTCTCGCCATACAAAAAATGGTATAGAATAACTTAAATTACCCAAATGATGCTCTCAGCATAGCCCATCCGAAATTAATGAAAGGAATAAATGTCATATAACATCTTTTGGAATTACATCTTGTGATGGTACAATCAGAACGGACAAGCTGATAAACACAAAATAAGGTGTCATCATGTCATGTCTGAAATTGAGAGGCGTGCATGTGATTAGCACTCTTAATAAAATTAATATTTTCAAGCTGACATTTCAAAGGATCCAAGTGAGAACAGAGGGAGAGGGAGGCGGGTAGCAAACAATGACACTTTTGGTGGTATTATTTTGACACCTGGAACCTTATATTTAATCCAATGGTTTTCACATGCCTCTTCTAGAATCCAAACTACTTAATGTCATGGTTGGCGGCGGACCTGACTTAATTTCACCCCACATATTATTTATTATATTAGGGATAAGATTAAGAATATCACATTAGAAACAACGGGAATTAGCTTCAATAACAGAGTAGTTAGGCTTAGGCATTGAATGCCTATTAAGGACCAAAAGGGGTACTAAACACCCCATCTTTGGCTCCTAAATTTTTTTTCTTTGTACACAGAAGCTGCATTACTTTTTGCATGTGACATGCTTGATGCCTTATGAGAACTCCAACCTTGCTTTAACGCTTCATTTGTGAAGGAAAACTTTAGCAAATGGATGTGAAGAAGAACTGCTTCGGTTCGAGAAGTCAAAGGACACAAAACATTCGGTTAGGTCGGAGCAACACAAAACCTCACTATAGGAGCTATTCTCCAAGCAGCTATGATGGCACAAAAACAGTGTGGCAGATGCTTTGGAGAAAACTGAAAATATCAGATAAGAAGAAAGTCTTCGATTCTCCCAATACAATGGACGGTGTTTATGATCAAGAAACATACTCAATGAACTTTGATCAAGGTACGGGATGGATGGAGCCAGACAATCTCCCTCGTTCCTTCTCAGCTCGGTTTGCTGATCCATCTAGGATCTTACCACCAAAACATTTATTGGATTGATTGAGAGTTACCCTCATGCAAAAATAAAACTTCGATACAGTTAATTATGTGTTTTTGCGTAATTCTTCTATTATAATTGAAGTTTTACCTTTCATTGAATAGATTATTATAGTGAAACTCCAATTTTAATAGAAAAATTGTACAAAATATGCCATAGCTATGTGTATCTATCTTTCTAGACTCCACTTGGTGAGATATGTAAAAAATCATTCTCTTCTTGATTTTAGAGTCCATTTGCGTAATTTTGTTAACACATGACTAAATGCTTCTTTAAATCTTCTCGCCTCATTCTCTTGAGGCGTTTGATCCAGAGAAAAACTTGAATCGATTCAGGATGTTGCAAACTTGCAATGTATGATATCTACTAGAGAAACAATGATATGTGCGTAGTTTTACTTTGATAGGGCATTAAAAGTCAAGTTAACTTTTAACAACAGATTGAATTGCACCATGACACTTAGAGTGTGTTTGGATAGAAAATTTAATTGGAGTAATTCATTTGTTTGAAGAATTTCAAATCTTTTGAGGTGAAATACTTTGTTTGGATAGAAAATTTTTAAAAAATTTGAAATCCAAGCATTTATGAAATTTCTTGAAATAATAAAATTTTAAATTCTCTTAAAAAAGTAAGAATTTAAAATTTCTCATATATTTTTTTTCTTTATTTCACTTATATATTTTATCTTATCTCTTCATATTCAAAAATATTTTTAAAATTATTAAATATTATATAATATTAATTTTTAAAATTATTAAATATTTAAAAATTGATTAATATTTATTTTTATAAAATTTTATTTAAAAATATCAACATATAAATATATTTTTAAAATTAATTTTACCATGATAGAATCAAATTATCATATCTAAATTAATAATTTAAAATTAAAAAGATTGAATTAACTTATCCAAACAAAATATTTTAAAAATGATAGAAATTGAAATCAAAGTAATTCAAATACCAAAAATTTCAAATTCTTTGAATTTGTAAAATTTATCATCCAAACATACTATTAATTCCTTTCGTTTTAAACTAAGAAAGTAAAAAATTTGGGTGAAGGATTCTATGCGTTTTAGTTTCTCATAATTAACAACATGAAATATGTTTAAATATAAATTAAGAAGTGTTTTTAAAACTTCTTTACTAAAAAATATTTCTTATTTTCAATATAAAAATTCTCAAAAATGTTCTAACTCATTCAAACAGATTTATTCTAGCGTTAACTTCTGTTTCTGTGTTTATTTTTCATGGCAATTCAATAATGTTTTGTTGTAGATAGTTGACTTCGTTTATGGCAATGAAAGGGAAACCACAACGTACCATAATATATAAAATAAAAACAAAAAGCTTGAATGTTTCAACTTTGGTGCTTTAATTTTTAATGAAATCAAGATGCTGACGGAACTTCCGAGGTTCATTATTATTACTTTATAATGGTATTTTTATTCAAAAGTTAAATATTTATTATATATAACTAAAATTTAATATAAGTTATATATAAATAAATAATATATTTAATTAGATAAATTATATTTTAAATTTGTGATAAATAATTTAAATTATTGTTTAAAATTATTTTTATTTATTTTTATTTATTTTAAAATATTTAAATATAATTTATAAATAATTATGATAAATATAAATTAAATTAAATATATATAGTTACTAGTGTCGCTGTTATGATTTTTTTATATAAAAAGATATATTTTTTTACACCAACATATAATAATATTTTAATATTAATTTTTAAATTTTAACTCCCTTTAAAATTAATAATAGAATGGTAAAACGGGTCAATTGGATTTGTTTAGGTCTGTTTCACTATTGACCAGCTAAAAATGGACTTGGTCAAACAATCAAGTAAAAAATGAGTTACACGTTTTAACTCATCCCAATGTTGGCTCATCACAAATTTTTTTAAAAAAAAAGTTTGTCCATTTATTTTGGATACTTCTTTCTTTCAAAATATTTTTTTTTAATATTTAAAGGATTCAAATAATTTAATAATAAAATAAATTTTAAATTATAATATATTTGATTTTATTTATTATACAATAAATATCAATTTTGTTATAAGTTTGTTGCACAAAAAACCTCAAATCACATATAATGAAATAAATCAGATATATATCATATTTGTTCCATAATAAGTGATAAATTACTCACATTATGAATCTCATGTAACTTACTTAAACTTAACATTAAAATAAGATAATAGTAATAATACTAATAATAAATAAAATTAAGTGAGTTGACAAGTCAATTCCTCTAGTCGACAAGTCAACTCACAAGTCAGTATCCATTTTATCATCCTTAATAAATTCATGTCAAATTTTGTTTTAATCAAAATAAAATGTTAGACGTGCCTTGATTTTCTTAATTATTAATGAAATTTACAATCACATCATATATAAAAAGTATAAATATAAAAAATAATTATCACATCATATATAAAAAATATAAATATAAAAAATAATTATCAGTGAATTTAATATATAAAATCAAGAAGTATAATACTTTTAAATATATAAAGAATTTAAAATTTAATCATTTGTGAAATTCTTTGAAATAGTAGAATTTTAAATTCTTCCAAAAAAGTAAGAATTTGAAATTCTTCATATTTTTTTTTCTTCTTATTTCACTTATATATTTTATCTTATCTCTTATCTTTTCATGTTTTTAATTATTGAATATTCAAAAATATTTTTAAAATTATTAAATATTATCTAATATTAATTTTTAAAATTATTAAATATTTAAAATTTAGCTAATATTTATTTTTATAAAATTTAATTTAAAAATCTCAACATATAAATATTTTTTAAAAATTAATTTTACTATGATAGAATCAAATTATCATATCCAACCCAACAATTTAAAATTTGAGAATTTTGAATTGACTTATCCAAATAAAATATTTTAAAAATGATAAAGAAATCAAAGTAATTCAAATACCAAGAATTTAAATTTTCTTAATGTTCATAACCCGTGTTTTAAGTTAAAATTAGTCTTGATTTATATCTTTTTAAAATAATAATTTAGATTTTTTTGTATTTTTATAATCATTATTTTTCTTTTTAAAAAAAAATTAAAATACTAAAATAAACGATGAATTCATCAATCATAGTTATATAATAATTAAAATCTTACTTTTTTAAAATATAATAACTAAAATTAATTTCTACTTAAAATTAAGAGCTCTAATACATATTTTATCCCTATTTATATTGTATGGTCTTACCAAAAAGTATATTGATGTGTTTTTCTTATTAAAGGTTGAAAGTTCGGACAAGAAAACGGTTAAAAAGTGTGAGCGACAATCATAACTATCGGTTAAATAATATTTTATTTTCCACTATATTTTTTTTATGAATTTCCCAATATTCTATAAAATAATTTTTAAATAAATAAAACAAGATTGATATTTTAAAGATTATAACAATTAAAATTTGTACAAAAAATCTTATGATAAAAATAAGATTATTATTTCTAATTAATGATTTTACAGGTGATTAAAGGAGGAGAAAAGAAGAAAAGGAGAAATGGTAAAAGTTTGATGCTGCCACCGAATACTGCAAAGCAAAGCCGAAAGGTTCGAAACTTTGTGTGGCACTGCTACTGCACGTGAACTAGACCATCATTATATATATACTTTTCAGAAGAAAAAAACAGTATAATTAATTTGTTGATTAGTGATTTTTTTTTATAAAATATTGTTGATTAGTGACTTATGAACACCGAAAGTTGACAGTACATTTCAGGTGAAACAAAATGTAGTAATGTTTTAACTTGAATTGCCCATCTTAACACCTACAAACTTTTCAAAACCCATTTCAATTTTATTAATTTTTTTATTCATGAGCGTAATTTATTAGAATGGATGAGATATTTAAAAAGTATGTTTAAATAATTTTGGAATTCAATTCATTAAAACAAGAGCGAGTAAATTGTGAAATATTTTTATATTGACATTACCACTTGTTTGAAATAAAGAGTTAATATAGAGAAAATAAAATAAAAACTGATTATAATGTTTAGATTATTTTAAATATTTGACGAAATATGAAGCATGAATACTTCTTTCATGCTAAATCACACAAAGTTGTGAATCTTGAGAGATTAAAATAGTTATTGCACATGTTTTAGTAAACATTTATAAGGATGCATTTACTTATTGATAACAAAATCAGAATTGTCACATAAGTTTATTATTTTCTTTTATTTTTCATTTTCATTTCAACCATGCACGTCTAAGTTATTAACTCACATTGGATACCACTTGTTGATACCCGATCTTTTTAATCATATATATGTCTTTCAATCTCTACTCCTTTATTTCTATTTTTAAATTGGGTTTCAATAATTAAAAAAAAAATTAAACTGAAGAAGAGAGGGACGATATGTGTTTTTGGAATATCATAAAGGCAAAAAAAGTATGGGGGTCAGGGGGTATAGTACTGAAATAAAAAAATAAAAATAAAAGTCCAAATAGAAGGAGCCCAATTTAAATAGTTGAAGCGGCCCATATAAACCTTAAACCCAATACTTCACTAAACACGATCGGGCAGATTTTTGAAGCAAGATGAAATTTAGAAGACGTGAACATAGGACATAACAATTCATCCATAAATATAAGTGAAGAGTGAATTTGAGTAGAAAGAGAAAATGCTAGAAGTTTTTACATGGGTGTTGCTTTAAGGTTGCATCCTTAGATGGTCCGAAGTGTAGGTTTTGATCCTTCTGCTGAACTCCAGCCACAAGGAAATATGCGGTGTGCCTGAGAAAGTAATTAATTAATGTTGTTAGGAACGTGTAGTTGTATCGTGTATGATGAGTAATTGTTGTGCACTAAGGGAAGAAAAAAAACACCTGAAAAAGTTGATGAGTTTGATCTTTGAGTCATCATCTATGCCATGGGTAGTGTCCAACGCTTGTCCCATATGATGTAACCACCTCTCTGCTGCTTCATGCGTCAAAGGAAACGCTCGATGTCGTGCGATCAGAGCAGGGTGCCCTCTTCTTTGAGAATACAGTGTGGGACCTCCCATTCTCTGGACCAGGAACTCGTACTGCTTCTCTATTGCCTTTTCTTTCTCTGAATTCGCAAATATCGAACCAAACCACTCTTCCTTGTCCTCGTACACTCTGTTGTAGAAATTGGTAGAGAGGTTTAGGAAGGTTTGGAGGCCCAGCTTCTCAAACAAATTGCCCTCGTCGATGCCATAAGCCTCCCCTGTGGAAACTCCACTCCATTCAGAAGCCTTCTCTTGCAGACTTTGCATTCTTTTAATTTCTAACTCTTTCTTTCTCTGTCTCCCTACACTAGAGATGATATATATGACTCACTTCTACAATATCACATCTCATTGAAAATCTCACATCATCTTTAGTCCCACAAGTAACAATAACAAAACGGTGTGCTTCTGCTTGTGCATGCACCTTTCACTTTCATATACAATAAATCTAATCTTTAGTTTATTTATCAATACGTAATTAATCTTATATATATGTCGTGTTTGCGATGATTGTGCCAATGGCTTATAAACCTCATGAAGAGGTGTGCTGATCTGATACGGCACTTGTCGCATGTGGAAGTCACTTCCTTCCTAATAATTTTATAAAGGTTAGGGTGTTGAATGCCTCCAAGATATTAATTACGAAATTAATAAATAAATAAATAAATAAATATTTTCATTATATTTTTTGTTCTAACTGGGGTGTTTAGACTTTTAGAAGTTTTGATTCTCGTATTTTAGTTAACTAGATTTCAGATTTTTATGCTTGAGAATGAGAAGTGAAAAGTATATAAAACTAAAATGATATTTGTTACTCCAGAAAATCTATCTCGATAGTACTCGAATTACACACCAACAACATGGTAAGGCCTAGCAAGAAGGGGAGTGGAACTCTCGAGATGGAATCGAAAAAAAAAATTAAATTGGACGACCCTAAGATGTAAGCCAGGGAAAGAATACGAAGCTAGGAAGCTGGGACAGTAAAAGAGACCTCGAAAGCAATTCGAAAAATCGAAAGACGGTTACCAAGAATCAAAACATCAAGTGGTTAGGAGCAGTTCTAAGATGCCAACTAGTAACCGTTCCGACCCTTACTCAAAAAAATGATGGAACATGGGAATAGCGGTTATCGGAGGTTAAGAACGGTTGAAGGGGGGTTACACAAACCACGTAGTTAAAATACTCAACGTCATGTATGGATAAAATTAACCGTCTACGTTAAACCTCTATAAATAGAAGATACGATCTCGAGGTCGGAACAATCATACTTGAAAATTCTCAAGCACTTATTGCTTACGCTTATGGCTTTCAAGTGCGAGATTGCTGGGTATAAATTTTTGGCTATTCTTTTGTTTTTAGTAGGTACTTTAATTCACTGTATTGTAATTTCTTTCATAAGATTAGGATTAATGTTTATCTAGGGGCTTAATGTTTGTAGTAATTTCTTTCATAAGATTAGGATTAATGTTTATCTAGGGGCTTAATGTTTGTAATTCGAAAATCTGGTAAATTCATTATGTTGTTGTTGTTGATATTTATGTTGTCCATTCGATCTATTTAAGTATCTGCATGCATGAAACATATTTCGTGATAACCATTGACGAGTGTTTGGAGATCCATGCAAGATAATTTCTTTCCTTTTATATCTAGAAATATAATTGTGCATACTTGTTGGGGGTTATATACTCGAACAAATATATGTAAGACTACTCGAAAAAACATATATATTCGAGGCTTGCTCGAGAGTTTAGAAAAAGTGGGAGTTGACTTGAAGTTTGTCGACAGTTAAGACGCCAAAGAGGTTCTAGATAGTAATTTCCCATAAAAAGTCATTTGAGAATCGAAGAAACAAAGATACGTGGGACCAGTGGTTACGAGAGGTTACACAAGTTACGAAGAAATCACGCAAGTCACGTAGTGGACAACAGTACCTCACGATGAACTTGCATACAATTAACTGCTCCCAATTAATTCTATAAATACAAGAAGTAACCTCCTCGTAAAAGAGGTTAGAAAATCATACTTGATAACTCTTACAAATACTTACTCCCTACGCTATGGCTTCCGTGTGTGGGATTGTTGTTGGGTATGACTTCTTGGTCATATTTTTTTTTCTTTCTTTAGTCCCACAAGTAACAATAACAAAACGGTGTGCTTGTGCATGCACCTTTCACTTTCATATATAATAAATCTAATGTTTAGTTTATTTATCAATACATAATTAATCTTACATATATGTCGTGTTTGCGATGATTGTGCCAATGGCTGATAAACCTCATGAAGAGGTGTGCTGATCTGATACGGCACTTGTCGCATGTGGAGGTCACTTCCTTCCCAATAATTTTATAAGGCATTTCCTTTGGTGCAAGTTTATTTTAGGGGGCATCAAAACTCTCTGTGACTAGAACCACATAAAGAATGACATGTGGTCATTTTGTCAGAACTTGTATTTTTTAACAATGTTTTAATATTTGTTATTTAACCCTCATTAATTATATCCTTTTAAATAATAGTCCCCGGTCTTTTTAAATATGCTTTATCTTCTTTATTTTCCTCCTTGCCTTTTCATTTTCATTTTTCAATCTTCTCTCTCGCGCATCTCTGTGGCTCCGGTGCTCTCCCTACGAAAATCTCCATCAAAGACGGGAACTTTCCATGTACCCTCCGTTCCTACCCTTTTCATTTTCATTTTTCCTCTTGTCTCTGTCGCATCTTCTTGCAAGCACCTCTAATTTTTGGTTGTTTTTTGTTTCTGATGTCCTCTCATTGTCCGGTCTCCGGTGATCGAAAACCTACTCTCCCTACCAAAAGGTTCATCAAAGACGGTATCTTCACCATTTACCCTCCCTTCCACATACGACATTTCGTTAGTCATTTTGTTTTTATTGCTGTGTTTGCTTCATTCTTATGATCTTCATCTTCCAAATTAGGTTTGTGCTTTATTTGTATGAAGTTACTCTTTGAAAGGGGATTTGTTTTGAAGTTTGTTAGAAAGTATGAAATGCATGTTTATTTTAGTAAAAGGTTTTAGGATTTCAACTGAGGTTCGGATTTCGTTATTTAGTTGTCGGTGTTTTGGTGTTTTGCAACCCCATTTAAAGGGGTTTTGTGTATTGTTAAGTCTCAATTTTACCTCTTTTTGGATGAGACTTATTGAACAAATTCCACTCATCCTTTGAACCATTGCAATATAATTGTTCTCTTTTTGGTTCATTTTGTGTGCAAATATAACTAACCCAAATTCATCTAACAATACCTTAATCCACCTCATTTTTTGTGCAGGTATTGAGGAAGAGTGGAAAGTTGAAGACTCTTAGGATTGGAAACCTAAGAAGCTAAGGAGCAGAGAAGAGGCTCTGCGCCGGGCTCAATATAACCTGCGCTGGGCGTGACAAAAA